TATAGAATCCCTCGTATACATACTTTAAAAGCATTAACATATCTGAGGAATGGCTTTTACGTGACTTGTCCTTCTGAGCAAACTGCTTGGCTAATGATAAACTATTCATACAGTGACCAGAAACTGCTACAGAATCCAGAAACAGCCTGGGTGAGGTTGAGAGGGGAGACTGTCTTTAGTGTCACAGGTTTTTACTTGGCCATTGAAAAAAACATGGACTATTCCTGATATGAGGGACATTGCTATAATTTCTTAGATCTTTGGATAATTTCACCATCTCATTTAAACTAAGTGTGATTGCAAAGCAAAAAAGGAAACACACACACACATACACAAAATAAAGCACAGTCACAAAAATAAAAAAAATATTGAGAAAATAAATTCTAGCAGATTTACTGGGGAGTGAATGATGTTGTAAATAGAGAATAGCTTAAGATATTGATGACCAATATTTGGAGAACATATAGAACAAATTCTGTGACTATATATTAAAAAGTTTCAGTTCTTATCAGTTTTTTTTTTGCAGATTAAAAAAAATGAGCCCAGGTAAACCCCAAATGTTTCTAAATTCTGAGAAATACATTCAAGTCATGTCTCAATTTGTGCTTCATTTCTACCATGTGGTCTGGTTTCTTTTGAAGGATTCAGGCCCCATCTTCTTCCTGAACCCTGCAGCTTGGGAGCTGGCACATTATATAAGCTTTTAGACCTTGGTGGTATATAAGTCTCCTGAAACACATTAAAGATTGTATGTCTTTTTCTGTGAATCATGAACTTCGAGGATGACTCCCAGGACAAGAAAATTATAGTGGAAGTATATGCTGTGGAATGGTCTTTCTGTATGCTGTGACTATGTGTTGATATAATCGGTTAATAAAGAAGCTGCTCTGGCCTATGACAATTCAGGTTATAGCCAGGCAGGAAATTCAGGAAAGAGACAGGAAGAAGAAAGGCAGAGGTGGAGAGACAGCAGCCTACCACCCAAGAAAAGAGCAAGATGCCAGTAGACTGTTAATGCTACAGCCATGTGACAAAACATAGATGAATAGAAATGGGTCAATTTAGGATGATAGAGCTAGGTAAAAGAAATTTAACTCATTGGCCATACAGTTTGTAATTAATATAACCCTCTGAGTGATTATTTTATAAGTGGCCACAGGACCGCAGCCTGTGTGTGTGGGACCTGAGAAAACTTATGGCTACAGGGATATAAACAGGCATTTTATGATTCAAAGTACTACAGTCTGTGTCTAAATTGGCAATATACAGTATCATTGAACTAACCATGCTAGAAGGAACACATGTCAGTTTTAATATAGTTGATTTTCTTACTTATCTACATTAGCATACATTTAAGAATATGTTTTTGTCAGTTTCCAAAATTGCTGGTTTCCATAAACCCATATTTTATACCTTGGATTCACTTAATTTTTGTAAGAGATATCTACTAATATTCAGTGTTGTCTCCTTTGGATAAGGATGCTGATAAAGTTACACTATGCATATTTTATATATTTTTACAAAAAAAAATAGCTTGTGCAGTAATTGCTGCAAATTAAAATTTAGGTATGCCAACTAGGAAAAAAAAACTATGTAGCACGTTTATTTTGTGATCAGCAGAATTTACTGCAACTACATCTCAAGTGAATTGTTTGAAGTGAAGTTATATACCCCCTAGTTTTCTAACAATAGAATAAATATTTGTATTCTATGTAGTTAATATTTGTGGGATCCACTTCATACCTGTCAGCATCACATACAGTTATAGAATACACTGAACTTCCCTCATCAGTCATGTGACCAAGATTTGACACAGTTTGTCATGCATTTAGAAATATTTTCACAGTATGAGTTTCGGTCTGGTCATATCTTAAATTTTTACAGTACATGGTTGCATAACTACAAAAAAATTGATTCACTTTAATTACATTCATACAGTAAGAGATCAGGCAGAAGAAAGCTTCTTCTTAGTCCTTATCGGAGAAGTGAATAATTTTGAAAAGTTGTCTAATTCTAATCTTGCTGTGGTGACTAAAAGGAGGTTAGTCTCTTCCTGTTTCAACAATTATGTAGCACTGAGTATCACCTTAAATGGAGAAACCCCTAAGAGATGTCCAAAGTAATTATCTCCACCATTCTCATTTGGGTCAGAACACACAACAAGTGAATTTCACCCACGGGGAAATTTCAGGAAGCAAATATAGGTCTAAATGAGGGGAAGACTGTCTCTACACATCATGGAAATCTTCATAAGCACACATTAGATGTGTTTTCTTTCTGATCCAAAAGAAAATTTTGTGTTTGGTAAGTCATCTCATCTCTCTGATATTCTTCTAGTAAGGCAACTCTTAAAATGTTTCTGGTTATCTTCTTTAACCTTGACCCACT